GATAGGTAATAAGAAATTATTGGATATAATTGAAAAGAAATTCACTTAAAGATTTTCAATTTTGATTTTATAGCTTTTCTTTTATCATTTAAAATATTTTTCTTCCTTTACAATTTTAAAAGAATTTTGAAAAAAATATAAAAAAAAAAAAAATTTAAAGATTTTAAGATAAAAAGGATTTAATAATTTTTTTTTTTGTTGTTCGTTCTTCGTTTTAAATATTAAATTCAATTAAGATAAGTTTAAAAATTTCAAATAAAATTCAAATCGTTTTGCTTAAGCTATTTTAAAAATTGATTATTAAATTGAATTCAAAAATCAATAAATGAGTGGAAATCTTATTAATAATAAATTAGGTATATAAAATGAAGGTATAGTATGCTTGTATAAAATTAGCTCTCTACGAGAAATTGAAATTGTGGTATCCATTTAATCTTTAATAGATTTTTGGTAAATTAGTGAATATGGCTATTACAGTTGTAAAGTAGCAATTTTTCTTTTTTTTTATTCCTACTTCGCTCCTCGGGGGAAGGGCTGGTACACGATATTGTAGATAACCATGAACATCAGTTTCTTAAGTCATTGAATTTACTAGGTAAGTGACGAGTCTACCGTAGTTTTATATTAAATATTTAATTAATATTTACTATTTTATTATCCTGGTATTCTTAATCTTGGATATTATTGAAATATGGCAATTAGTTAATATGTATAATAAGCATAATGTAATGTGTATAAAGCTATATAATATTGAATATAATTTTTATTATGACCTGACTGAGTTTTGAACCCGAGACTCTTCTGTTGAGGTACCAGTGCAATAACCACAAAATTGGTTAATTTTTCTTGGAAAAAGAAAAAAAAATTTTTTTCTAAAAAGCAATCTATTAGCTACAGTGAAACACGCTTAATATCGACGCTGTTTAATATCACATTTTGGCTGTATTTGACAAGAAAAATCTCCATATATTTTTGCATCTTATTGGAACTCGCTTAATTGATACTCTTCTAAGATCATATAATTTTCGACATAAGAATGTCTAATTTCATTCAATTTTACTCTCTCAAAATCACAAAGTTAAAATTTGATACAAATACAAAAAATCCAGTCGAATACATTTTTAAACAAAAAGTGTAAATATTTTTGATTGACGACATCACTGTTGGCGATTGTTTTTGTAAAATTATTAAATTTAGATTAATGTGAAGATGAATCTGAATGCATTTAGATTAGTAGATTTATTAAGAATGTATCCGTTAAAATTGCTTTCAATAACTATTTATAGCTGCCATTGTTTTCATTTTGTCTATATTTCAAGTACTTATACATATTTATGAATAAATCAAAATGAAGGATATTTTACACCATTCCCTTAAATTCAGAAATTCTTGGAAATTTTTCTATGTGATATTAAGGCTGTTCGGCTACAAAAAAAAAGTATTGCATACGTATAGGATGAATTATAAAAAAATTCAAAGAAGCATTAACAATAGTAACATAATGATTAAATTCGATGGTTCGACGGACGGATAGACAAAGTAAAATCAGTAAGCACATTTTTTTTGGAAAAATGCTTAAAATAAATTTTCATATTTATTGAATGAACTGATGAATAACGTAAACTAAAGAAATAATTTATTGATTTTAAAGTGATTAGCATAAAATTTTATTGAATTCCTATATATCTACTAAAATTTTTTCCACTTGTATGTATACCATCTTATTATAGTATATTAAGTCCTGTTATCCGGTTATTGTGTATTCAAAATCTTGATTCTTATATATATGATGCATATTACTTTGTTAACTCAAATTCAACATTCGAGTGAAATAGATTGTATATATTAGCCCTATAGTATATGTTCATTTAATTGTATGATAAAACAAGGTTTTTTCGTAGCTGGCATGCTTAAAATAATGTAGAACTTTGCAGCATAAAGTTTGAGCTTTGTAATAAGTCGTTTATGTTCCACAAACTGAATCAAAATTTAAAGTACAGTTCCCGTATCCTTAAAAAATTGCATAATAATTTGTTTTCTTTTAAATAACTACGCTGAATGTTTTCCCAGCTAGCATCTTAAATGCAATTATTCTATGTAAATATTAGAATTTTTCTCATCCAATTTTACTGATAAAAAATAATAAAAATTTTTAAAAAAATTGTGAATTATTTTACAAAAAAAAAAAATTTCTTCAAATACCACAACAATATTGTCGAAATAAAATTGTTAATGTTAAGTAGATGAAAATTTATTTTTATAAAAATGTTGTTTACGTAAGCACCTAACAACCATTAACTCATATATTTACATACATACATTTTCAATAACCATACGGTTATTTTGGTATTAAAGATAATTTTTTTTTCTTTATTCTGAAATTTTAATTTAAATTTTAAAATCTATAGATAAAATATCTTCCATCTTCAAATGCATCCGGTCTTTTTTTCAGAAAAAAAAACAAGAATAAATTTTTATTTTGAGTTCTCTATCTAGTTGTAGTTTGCATTTAAAAAACTTAAAGATTATCAAAATTGTTTATGCAACATTATACTTTACAGTTTTGTATCAGAACCAGAAAGGATAATAGTTTTTTATTGCAATTGTAAAGGAGTGTTTAAGTGAAAAAAAAAGAGGTAAAATAATATTGGAAGATGTGAAAGTATTTGAATGTATTTGAAGAAGGAAGAATGAAGAGGGAAAAAGTGTAAAACGTTTTAAAATATAAAAAGAGAAAATGAACATGTTTTGAGTACCAAAAGCTAAAAAAGTAAATTGTTAAAAAAAAAGGATATAAGAGTTAGAGAAAAGCAAGAGTAAAGTACACATGAACAATGATGAAAGTTGGTTGCATGAAATAAAATGAATTCTCTAATCCAGATTACTCAAATAATGTTGAAATTTTTCTGGTTGAAAGTTGTAATGAAATTAAAAAATATTTGTTGTTCGCATATTATGTAGAAGTGTAGTATATGCATTTAGAAATCCTGTACATAATATTTTTGTAACTAAATTAGGAAACTAATAAAATACATGAGAAGTATAAATATGTAAATGGAAAGGAAATATTTTTCCAGCTCATTTGAATCTGGTTCCCTTTCTGCTTTTAATGTTTCAAGTTCGGATGATGATATAGTTTGGTAGCTTAACTATTCATATAAAATATTGTATCTTATATGTGTATTAGGATGTTACTGTTTATTACATTAGTTCTTTCTATGAGCTTTAAAATATTTCTATTAATATTTCAATGCTATTTGAAATTCTTAATATTTTATTTTTTTTTTCTTTAATTAACTCCTTTATTTTTTGGATTTATAATTGAAGATTTTTGAAAACTTTTCTCACAATGTTTTTATCAGTAATAATAAATGTTGATTATGTAGTAAAATATGAAAACTTTGTTTCCTAAATTGAAACCATAACATTTACGTGTTTTAATTCCTTTAAATACATTGTTCCCTTTTAAGTAGTTCCTATATACTTAGCTACAAAGCTATAGTTCCTACAGCGATTTTCTAAACCATTGTTCGTAAGAAACACAAGTTGCTTTAAAGTTAATTATTATTCATCTGGAATTTCAAAATATTTAGAAAGATCTTAAATAAATTAGTAAGTCATATTTTAAGCATTTACTTTCAATTTAGCAAAAATACCAGTGCAGATAAAATTGAACGTGTCAACTATGTGGTATCCGCGCTTATGAATTATTTCAAGAATTTTATGATGAGAGTCTTATGACACACTGTTTTATACGGCCTCTTGCTATCTTTTATGTGAAGTGCTATTTTATACAATATAATATGTCGCAGTCTTTCAGGTGGTAAAATTACAGTATGCGTTTATTTAAAATTTCGGCACTGCAGTTTCAAAAACTTCCATAATATATAACTGAAGAACTTTTATATTTGTATTGATACTACCACAGCGAGTCAGCCTTTGAACATTCGTTCATACGGCTATACATTTTCAATACTAGTCTTTTTCCTTAGACAAAGAGGCTAAAACACAATTCTCTGAAATTTTTGGAACTTAATAAACTATGCAATAATGGGTTAGAATTAATAACTAATGAAATACAATTAATAACTAATCCAGATATTATAATATTTCGTACAAGTTCAAAAATGTTTATTATAGAAGTATGAAAAATCATATACATTAAAATATAACGACATTTGTATAACTGATAACTTAAGAACTGAATATTATAATGGTGTATTTGATAATAGCAGTCACAAACACAACTTTTTTTTCAGAATGATTCAAAAATTTAGACTCTTATATCTCAATATATGTCTAGAATTGCAAAAAAAAAATTCATTAAACACAATTCAACTCTTAAGATGAACAAAAATCTTTGCTATGTAAGTTGTACATAAAATTGCATATGTTCAGGGGCAATATGCTTTATATTTTTTGTTAGAACAAAACGTACCCCTTAGATATTGTATTCTTTAGGTTTTAATATATTTTCCCCCAAAAATTCAAATAAAAATTCTATAATCATATGATCATTTTAAAATTATAAAAACTTCTTATATGAAACTCCTATTTATACATACAGATATTCAAATTCACCTTAAACTATTTTTAAATTCTAAAATTTATATTATACGAATTAGTCACACTTCATTTTGTAAATCATATACTTAAAATCAATACTCATATTATCGTATTTAACCGTATAAAATAATGTAGTTTAAAACATTCCACAATAATTCCAAAATACATGAAAATGAAGCGTTTCCATTGAAGTGAAGAATAATATCCTTCAATTTGTTTCATTTCACACAAATATAATAATATTATGTGTAATGTACCTGATATATTTAAAAAATAAAAAAAAAAAAAAAAAACTCAACATAGACAGCAGGTAAAACATACTGCTGGAACTGCATGTAAAATTAAAATTAAAACCAAAAAAAAAAAACACACAATAGGAAAACAAAAGAAAAATAAAAATAAAAAAATTTAACAATCAGTTACATAACACTCACCTCGACAGTACTATCTCGAATGTAAGTTTCGCTAACATTACTTGTATGTTTGTCTCGAGGTCGATACGTTATTCTGTATCCTAAAAATTCACCAAGTATTGTACTGGCAGGTGGTGGCTTCCATGATATAAATATCGAACTAGATGATGTATTATGTGCAGCTGTTGTAGTTGGTTTTCCCGTGGGTGCTATAAAACAAAACATATATATATTGTATATGTATATGTATATATGGAAAAATAGTTATATAAAAGATAACACACTAAAATTTAGTAAATTGCAAGTATAACAACAATAAAAAATAAAAAAAAATGAGAAATGATATAGAAATGAGTATAAAATAAAGAAAACATTATTTTGTTAAAGCAGAGTTTTCCAACTGAAGCGAACAAAAGAACCGTAATCAAGAAGAATATTATTAGAGGGCAGGAAACATTCAGAAATAAAACGTAAACTGAGGATTTAATTGGAATTTCAGTTTTTTGTGTTTAGCAACACTTGTATATTAGAAGTATGAAGATTTCCTTGAAAGAAATAAAAGCTTGCGTTTAGTTGTCTTGTTTTTCAAATTTTGAAAGTGGATTTTGAGGATCTCAATTTATTGGTAGTCATACCAATTTTGAATTAATAATATTTTTACTAAAGTGTTATATTCAATTTATTGTACAGGTGGTTACTGCGGCTGGTCATTTGTTTTTAGGCCAGTAAAAAAGTTTGAATAACAAAATCAAATTGTAATTGTATAAGCAGATAAAATAATAGAAAATCAAAGGACTGAAAATGTAGTTTAATAATAATGTACTCTTTGCCTCAAATTAGTGAATTGAAAATGTGTAATCGATACCAAGGCACCTAAATTTAAATTTCTATTTAAACTTCTAAAATTTTGTTCATCTAGAAACAACAGCAGGCGCCTGAATTCATGACAAACATTTCTTCTTAAATTGTATTTCTCAAATTTTATTACAATAATTTAAAGCCACAAGAACACACAAGCTATAATCACGGAACAATCTCGCAAACTATGAAACCCTTCATATGTTTCTATTGTTCTAAGTGTATTAGTTTGTCAGTACCACTGATTTTTTTTCCAAATTTCAAACTCTGAACTCAAGTATGAAAACAAGAAAAAAATGAAAATGAAAAAAAAAATAAAATACAAAATTCAAAGTATTGGAATAAAATTTGTTAAATAATTCCATTTTGTTAAAATTTCCACAGAGAAAATATACAAAAATAATAAAAAAGAAAAAAAATAAAGTTGGGTCAAACCAATGGTTTGTATTGTAGCACTTTTCCCTTCAACAAGGGAAAATTCTGCTTTTAAATACATTCTATGTATACCTATCAAACTATTAAAATTATTTTCATTCATATACAAAACTATTTCTAGAATTGCATATATTTAGGATGACGTATATATGTAGTCTTTGAAATAAAGCAAATATTAATATAAAAAGGGGTTAACATAATGCTCGATTTTAAGAGTTAATTATGTGAGTTAAGAAAAATAATTATATTTTTTAATTTTATGGAATTTACCGTTAGCTTTTCGCGTTTATAAAAATTTGGAAAAGCTTGCGGTTTCGGAAATATAAGGTGTCAAAAATTCAAATTTTACGAATTTCAAGAGGTGATAACTTGAGATGGAAAAAAATTTTCTTCTAACGAAATAAACTATTTGTTAATGTCTAAAAGCTCCTAAAATTTCAAGCTTCTACAGGCTGGGGTCTAGAAGAAAAATGACATCAAAAATTTGGAAAAAAAGGACTTTAGATAACGGTAAATTTGAACGGCCATTTTGTTTTTCTAAAGTTTAACTATAGTATATCGCGCTAGGGAAAGCAAGCCACTGCCTTTCTGCGTTTGCAAAATTTCAAAAATGCTTATGGTTTCATTGCAACAAATAGTTAAACTAGGCCATTTTTAGGGTTTTGGGGGGGTATAACTTCTAGAGGGGGGGAGATAGGTAAAAATTTTGTTCTACGGAAATAAGTTTCTAGTAAAGATTTATGTACGTATGAAATTTCAGCTTTCTATCTTAAAGTTTTGTAAACAAAAAAAGTGTCCACGGACGGACGGACGGACAGAGTGAAACTAATAAGCACTTTTTTCAAAAAATTTTTTGGAAAAGTGCTAAAAAGAAAGAAACTACAAATTTTATTTCTAAAAAATCTTGTTAAATACGAAAAAAATAAAAAAGAGAGAAAATAAAAAACGACGACGAGATTTTCTTTTTTTATAAAATATTTTCCCTTTATTGATAATATTCATCTATTGTCGAATAAAATAACACTAAAGATGTACCATTATGTATTACGGTATATTAGCAAACACTTATGTAGCTGAATAATAACAATCCCTGTTAAAGTGTTCAATATTTTAATGGAAATATTTAGGTTAACAAGCAAAAGAAGCAACAGAAAATGCAAAATGCAAAAAAAAAAAAATAAAATAAGAAAATACTTTGATCTTTTTCCATTCAGACTTATGCTTTTACCTTTTTTTGTTTTCTTTTTTTTTTATATTTTTCGTCCTTGTAAAGGAATTGACCATATAATAATAATATATTGGGAAAAAAATAACTCTTGGAATCATTCATTTTTGTGTTTCAAGTATATTTTTTTTTTTCTTTTAAAAGGGAACATGTCCTTCTTATGTCGAAATCATATAAGATAAATTGTTAAAGTAGTTTTCTTTGAGTTTGAAATGTGAACTTAAAGGAATATTTTTATACTTAAATCTGCTTAAGGAAGAGTACTTAAATGTGATTTCGTTTTCATAGCTATGCTTAATTTTTCCTTTTCTTTTTTTTTTTGGAATCGGTTTAAAAGAAACATGGATTTAAGTAAGTTTTATATAGTTTTAAAATATTGAGAAAAGGATTGAAAAATAAATATGTACTCATTTCTGTTTATCTTTAAGAAATATTGTTTCTATACAGTCTAGATTAGAAGTGCATATTATTGAGATGTTTATTTCTCTAGCTGTTTTCAATGTTTTTAGAAAATCTTTAAGAATTGTAATTTATAAGAATTTAAGAATTGTAAAAGTAAGTTAATTAGATATTTTCAATAACTTTTGTAAGGAAATTGTTATATAAGATGGGGGTTTTTATAACATATTCAACATATTTTGTTGTACATATGATTAGATGTCAAAACTTCATTTGCCTCGTATGAACAATTTAATTCTATAAAAAAATTTTCATGTTTTTAAATTTCATTTCAAATTTTTATGAAATTTCACTAATTTATTAATTTTTAAAATTTCCTTTGGAATGGTTTTGAAAAGCAAGACGTGTTAATACGGTTTTTAGTTTTAAAATTAGATTATTAATCAAGCAACAAAATATTGAATAATATTTAAGGAGAATTTATGTTGTACATTATATTTTTTCATTATAATGGTGTCGCATCGTACATGAAATTAAATCCTTACTAAATTCGGCCTTTTTCTTAATAAATTCTAAAATATACCAAAGTTTTGAAATTTTGATATATTTAATTCCACTATCGCACAGAGGTTCAAAATTCACTATTTTGTAAGACTAAATATTATTAAATATTTTATAAAAAGTTATTCTAAACTACAAAAATTAGATACTTGTTAATATTTAAAGAAAAAATGTTTGTCCTCGAAACCAAAAATTTATTGTTATATTTGCTTCTACAAAGTAGCTATTATATACAGTGTATATAAGAACATTGACATACATACATTTTTTAGGTGTTTTTACAAAATAAAATTATTAGTATTTTTTGTTTTTTGCTTTTTTTTCGCTAATCCGATTAAACAATTTTAAATAATGGTTTTCTTCATTAATATTATTTATTCATATTAATTCCTAATCCTAATTGATTTTGATTATTAAACAGCTGCTATATCTATATCAGTAGTAATATTATTATTTCTTCTTGGGAAAGAAATTAAGTATAAGGATTAAAATTATCGCACAGCTTAAATATATTTTTATGAAAATACACCGTTATAAATAATTATATATGTATTTATGTGATTATAACTCATTTAGCTAGATATTTATTTTTGCAGTCGGCAGATTTTAAAAGTGTTCCATAAATTTTATATGTTTTATGAATCTTATTTGCAACTGAAAATCATATTTTTATTGTCTGAATTGAAAAATTGAATTTTCGTATTAATTTTTAAATTTTCCCCAAAATTTTGAATATCGAAACAAAATTTTCTTAGTATGTAAGAGTTTATATTAATTTGACTCATTTAATTTTCGAACGCGAAACTTGAAACAGAATTTATATAACGTGAATTTGTTTTATCTCTTACTTCAAATTTCGAATTCTTCGTTTAAAGGTAGTTGATGTTGGATGTGAACTTGTCAGTGGTTAGATACTGAAATTGAAATACTAATTTTGATTAGGACACTTCAAGATTTTTTATATCTTCTTCTAAACTTTTCGTTTGTATCAAATCAAAGAAAATAATGCAGGATCGCATGATTTATATTTTTTAATTCAAGAAAATTAAAATTTCGATTTTATGTTTAATAATATTGTTAATCAATAAAGGTAAGCGCACAATTTACGATTTTAGCATTAAATACACTTTACAAGCTACTTTTAACATACAGCGGGTTTTTAAATGTTACTTACTTTAATAAAATAAAGTATGTAACTTTAATAAAATAAGATTTTCTTGTTGAAAATAATTTAAAGAAATTCTATTCAGCTTCTTTAATTTCACCTTATCATATTACTTTTGTTTTGTATTCAATTGAAATCGTTCCAAATTTTATTAAAATCTTAATTGTTCGATCTATTTAATACAAAGAACAATGCTTAATCATACCAATCTCCTCATTATTTTCGGATTTATATTTTATTTTGTTTTCCTTTTTTCACTCTATTTTGTTTTTCTTCCTTTCATTCCTTTTTCTTCATATAACCCCCACTACTATTATAAACCGAAGAAGAATTAAATCACTTTTACAAATCTTTGCTATTCTTACATTATTTTTGTTAATTTTTTTTTTATGTTGAAATTCTTAAAACTTCCTAGTCTGAAAGAGCATAAAATGTGGGAAAACAAAAAGAAAAGAGGGAGAAGAAAAATAATAATGATTAAATGTGATGGGAACAAGAATATTTTTAAATGAGCTGATAGATGTTTACAATTAATGCGTGTTGCCGTCTATTAATGTTTTCAAAAA